GACTGAGATCGGTGCCGGGTGGAAGGGCATCTCGATGCCGTCAAGGTCCAGGAGGAAGCCTCCCGCACCGAAGACGGTTCACTGCGCAGTGCTGGTGCGGCTTCAGCAGCCAGGGCCGGGCAGAGCACGGACTCTATTAAGAGTATTTCTCACCTGGGTCTCTCTCACACTGAGTCCTGGGTTTAAAACTGCGGCAGAACTTGCAATTCGCAGGAACGTGGGCCTCACCCAGGCACTTCGAGCACGAATAGTGTGGGCCCCCTCAAGGTTTAGGCTTAGAGCAGTCCACACAGGGCTTAAAGCCATGAGGCCTCGGCATGCCCCGGAGACAGGTGGAAAGGGAACGCAACGGGTGAACCCCGACCCAATGAGGAACACTAACTACTAACTAACTTGAACAAAGAGCAGTACTCAAACTAAACAAATAAACAGGAAGGGCAACTTGGAGAACAAAGGTAGACCACTGAGTGATAACTAAGTGCAAATACCATGAAATCATACTTGCAAACGAGCAAAATAAGAGCTCTAACAACCATCACGGGTGGTAAGAAAGAACTGAGGGGATGGAGGGCCAGCAGGGATATATATGCACTAGGGATGTGAAAGACTAGTTGACTTGTCAACTATCTGATAAGCAAAACGTTATCAGATAGTCAATACACTAGTCGACCAGTCGCTTCCCGTCCCCTTGCTGCCTTTATCAGAAAGAGGCAGCAATGGGGTGGGAGGGAAGAGCAGGGAGGCAGCACTGCTTGGAGCCGGAGTCAGCTCCCCACTGACCCCAGGCTCCACATGACACGACCGCTTTGAAATGCTGCAGGGAGCCCTACGCAGCGTTTCAAAGCGGCAACACCACATAGAGCCAGGGTCAGCGGGGAAGTTCCCAGCTGGTCCTTAGCTCCACGCAGTGCTGCTACTTTGAAACACCGCGGGAGCCAGGGGCCAGCGGGAGACTCAATCAGTCCCCCGCTGGCCCTGTTCTTCCCGCATCACTTTCACCTTTGAAGTATAGCAACAGCCCTGTGTTCAAAGGTGAGGGTCCCTTATAGACTAATCGATTTGCATTGACTATTCAATTAGCCTATTAATCTAAATTGAACATTCCTAATATTCATAGCTATAGTGGCGCCACCCTGCGGGCTCCCCTACTGGTGCCACTGAGGGAAAACTCGACAGTCCATGTACGCGGCGCGCACACCCCCAAGTGGAATGGACATGAGCAAACACTCAAAGAAAAACAGACTGAACTGGAGTCTTGAGCTCTTCTCTGCCAGCCAGTATGTGGGCAGGGTCCTCTCCACCACATTACCAGAATAGGCTGCCAGAGCAAGGGTTCCTCTGCCCCTTTCTGCCTAATTCATCTTCCCTCCAGTGAAATTCTGTCCGTTGGAGCACCCAACCCAGCAAGCCACTGCAGAGCACAGCACGCGGCTTTCAAGCTTTCATTCTGCCCTGAGCCCAGCAAGTGTGCATCACTGTGCATTTTGTAAGATCGTCTGCTTTCATACTAGGGATGTAAAATCCTGTTCAATTAGTAAACCAGTTAAATGTTAAGTTTAATCGGGTCACTGATTAAATAATATGGGCTGGCGGGGGGGGGCTTTCCCACCCCAGCCGGGGCGGGGGGCGCTAAAGTGGCCCCTCTACCCCTGTGACTAAGCTGGAGCATCTCCTTTCCCCTGCTGCGGGTGCATGAGCCTGCTGTTCTGGCTGGGCTGAAGAAGCCCCCTCCTGTGGCAGGCCCCGGTGGGGGGCTGGAGAAGCCCGCTGCGATGCGGGTGGCTACTCCAGCCCCCACTGGTTAACTGTAACTGGTAAGCTTCACCCGTTAATGATTAACCAGTTAACCAATAAAACTCACCATTAATATCCCTATTTCATACACCTAGGAGCTCGTTCTACCAGTTAGCAGGCAATGTGCATGCTCTGACAAAACTGAGCCTATATACAGTAATAGCCCAGGCCTTACGGTCCCGCCACCTCCCTGTCCTGTTCACCTTCATTGCGTCCTTCCACATCAGCCATAAAACATGTCCTCAAGTGAGCAGGGTATATGTAATAGGTTTACCTGGTCCTGCAGCTTTTGGAACATTAGTGGGTGAGGTGCTTCCAATATTGTCTCATTCAGACGGGACTGCCCTTCAACGTTGACTTGGAAGGAAGCTTTACTGGACAGGAAAGTCATGTAAATTTCTTTTGCTTTTTCTTGCATCTGTGAAAGGTCAAATATGTACAATGGGAACATGTAACTTTGCCAGAGTCCTCCTATAAGACATGCTAATGCCATGAGAGATGCCTCTATCAGATGCAGCATCTTAGAAAGTAGAGAGAGAGAGAGAGAGTTGTGTGTTTGTCCGTCTGTGAGTCTGTCCATCTGTGAATCCATTTGTTCAAAACCTCTTCCTAAATGGTAAGAGGTAAGGCCATTTGGTATGCAGCTTCCTCTTACCCTAACTTACAGCACAGCCAGAGTTTGATGATGCCAGGAAAATGGGATGTGCCTGGAATTCGATTGTTTTCCATAACATGGAAAGGGAGGGGGCAAATAGGGACAGTTGTGCTCCACCATGACCAGATGGGGCAGCGAGTGTGGGGGACAGTTGTACTGCAGAGTGATTACAGGGAAACGGCCACACTGGGAAGAGAGTGGCCAACCGGGGCTGGGACTCTCCATGTTGCCAGTCATCAGCCCTGGGCAAGTGGACCCCTTGCTCCCAAACCCCTCTCTACTGCAGTGCCAGATGGGGAGGGGGAGAGGAGAGAAGGAGAGTCCTGCCAGCCTGCAATCCCAGTCATCCCAAGGAGCTGCCGGCCAGCTAGGGGGACTAGACAGTGCAGCCTCCCCCACCCCCCCCGGATCTGTCTTAAGGAGCCACCGGCAGCCTAACTCTGGCACACACCCTAAGGATCTGGGGGTGGGGGGGAGGAGTGAGCAGCCCAGTCCCAACTTCCTTGCAAAAGTAGCTAGGGGGTAGGTAACCCAGCTCCATAAGGAGCCGCCAGCCAGGCGACTTGGGCAGCACAGCCCTAGACCCCCTCCTTGGGAGGAGCCACCAGGTCAGTGCAGCTAGAGTCCCCAGGAGGAGCCACCGTTGGAGCAGCACTACCCTGTCTGCCTCAGGCAGCCCCAGTACATCCCTCCTGACCTCCCAGCTTCCTGACCTGAGATCTCCCTGCCCTGAATCCTGTACCCCTCTCCTGAGCTCTCCCACATCTCCCACCCTCTGCCCTCAGCCCCCCCCACACCTCCCAGCCCCCTGCCCTGGCTCCTGTACCTCCACACACCTCCAGCCCCCTGCCTTGATCCCCTCACATCCCCAAGATCCTGCCCTAACTCCTGTACCCCACCCATAGCCCCCTGCCCTGGGGGACTGGAGAAAAGCCGGATAAATCATCTAGTAGTGATATATAGATCATTTCATTCATCGTTTAGGAAATGTACTTCTTAAAGTCCGAATCGTGCAACATGCTGAGAGTTCACTGACTTTGATGGGAATTGACAGCGCTCAGCACTTCATTCAAGAAGTCAACACCTTAGTCCCTGATGGTGCAAATATGTAACTGCAAGGGGAGGAGCTTTTCACTGTAGCTGAAGAGGTTAGGTGTGGGCTTCTTTGAGGTAGTTTATTTTTTAATTGTTTGCTCTGACTGCAGCAGATGTTCTGTTTCAGCACCTGGCCTTGTCTTCATAGAGAAAGAATAATGATAATGTTTAGCACTCAGACAGCCCTCTTCAACTTCAAAGCACTTTACTAATCCTGTACCACTGAAATCAACTGCAAAACTCTCCTTGCCTAGGAAGTTCATGAAAACAGATAGGAGAAGAAGCACAGTGGGAGGCAATATTTTAAAGCAAATCTCAGACTGGTGTAAATTTTTCATACTTAGTTCGCCAACAGGCACTAGAAGATAATTAGTAACAGGTAACCATAAATATTCTGTATTCTATATTTAATGAGGAACAGTGTTCAGAGAGTAGCACTAGCTAGAAGACTCCCTCTGTGATGGGAAGAGAAACTGAAGAGGAAAGCACTTAAACTCTTGGCCATGAACAAGCACAGGAATATGTTTATGTTATACTGTTCAAAATAGACATTTGGGGATAATTAAAAGGCAAGTTATACATACACGTCTGACTATTTTAGTATATTCCTAAGGTCTAAAGAATTAACCTTCTCACAGCTGACAGCATATACGTGTTGTGCGGCAGCAGTTCTTTTTAAAAGGAGACTACACATCTGTCTGGAAATGGATGACAGAAGGGGGATCACGTGAGGATTACCTGTTGTGTTTCCTCTCTCTGGGGCGGGGCTTCCCCAGCCTAGCTGGGCTGGAGTGCCTCCCCCCCGCCCATTGCAGATGGGGGCTGCTCTGGCTGGGCTGGGTCGCCCTGCCTGTGGCACACCTGGCCTGGGCCCACCATGGATGGGGCTATCTGGTCAGGCTGGAGCGTCCTTTGGTCAAGGCAGGCCCCGCAGGGCTGGAGCAGCACCCTGCCCATGGCATGGGGGCTTCCCCAGCCTAGCTGGGCTGGAGTGCCTCCCCCCCGCCCATTGCAGATGGGGGCTGCTCTGGCTGGGCTGGGTCGCCCTGCCTGTGGCACACCTGGCCTGGGCCCACCATGGATGGGGCTATCTGGTCAGGCTGGAGCGTCCTTTGGTCAAGGCAGGCCCCGCAGGGCTGGAGCAGCACCCTGCCCATGGCATGCGGGTGGCTACTCCAGCCCCCACTGGTTAACTGTAACTGGTAAGCTTCACCCGTTAATGATTAACCAGTTAACCAATAAAACTCACTATTAATATCCCTATTTCATACACCTAGGAGCTCGTTCTACCAGTTAGCAGGCAATGTGCATGCTCTGACAAAACTGAGCCTATATACAGTAATAGCCCAGGCCTTACGGTCCCGCCACCTCCCTGTCCTGTTCACCTTCATTGCGTCCTTCCACATCAGCCATAAAACATGTCCTCAAGTGAGCAGGGTATATGTAATAGGTTTACCTGGTCCTGCAGCTTTTGGAACATTAGTGGGTGAGGTGCTTCCAATATTGTCTCATTCAGACGGGACTGCCCTTCAACGTTGACTTGGAAGGAAGCTTTACTGGACAGGAAAGTCATGTAAATTTCTTTTGCTTTTTCTTGCATCTGTGAAAGGTCAAATATGTACAATGGGAACATGTAACTTTGCCAGAGTCCTCCTATAAGACATGCTAATGCCATGAGAGATGCCTCTATCAGATGCAGCATCTTAGAAAGTAGAGAGAGAGAGAGAGAGTTGTGTGTTTGTCCGTCTGTGAGTCTGTCCATGAGTTTGTGTGTTTGTCCGTCAGTGAGTCTGTCCATCTGTGAATCCATTTGTTCAAAACCTCTTCCTAAATGGTAAGAGGTAAGGCCATTTGGTATGCAGCTTCCTCTTACCCTAACTTACAGCACAGCCAGAGTTTGATGATGCCAGGAAAATGGGATGTGCCTGGAATTCGATTGTTTTCCATAACATGGAAAGGGAGGGGGCAAATAGGGACAGTTGTGCTCCACCATGACCAGATGGGGCAGCGAGTGTGGGGGACAGTTGTACTGCAGAGTGATTACAGGGAAACGGCCACACTGGGAAGAGAGTGGCCAACCGGGGCTGGGACTCTCCATGTTGCCAGTCATCAGCCCTGGGCAAGTGGACCCCTTGCTCCCAAACCCCTCTCTACTGCAGTGCCAGATGGGGAGGGGGAGAGGAGAGAAGGAGAGTCCTGCCAGCCTGCAATCCCAGTCATCCCAAGGAGCTGCCGGCCAGCTAGGGGGACTAGACAGTGCAGCCTCCCCCACCCCCCCCGGATCTGTCTTAAGGAGCCACCGGCAGCCTAACTCTGGCACACACCCTAAGGATCTGGGGGTGGGGGGGAGGAGTGAGCAGCCCAGCCCCTCCTTCCTTGCAAAAGTAGCTAGGGGGTAGGTAACCCAGCTCCATAAGGAGCCGCCAGCCAGGCGACTTGGGCAGCACAGCCCTAGACCCCCTCCTTGGGAGGAGCCACCAGGTCAGTGCAGCTAGAGTCCCCAGGAGGAGCCACCGTTGGAGCAGCACTACCCTGTCTGCCTCAGGCAGCCCCAGTACATCCCTCCTGACCTCCCAGCTTCCTGACCTGAGATCTCCCTGCCCTGAATCCTGTACCCCTCTCCTGAGCTCTCCCACATCTCCCACCCTCTGCCCTCAGCCCCCCCCACACCTCCCAGCCCCCTGCCCTGGCTCCTGTACCTCCACACACCTCCAGCCCCCTGCCTTGATCCCCTCACATCCCCAAGATCCTGCCCTAACTCCTGTACCCCACCCATAGCCCCCTGCCCTGGGGGACTGGAGAAAAGCCGGATAAATCATCTAGTAGTGATATATAGATCATTTCATTCATCGTTTAGGAAATGTACTTCTTAAAGTCCGAATCGTGCAACATGCTGAGAGTTCACTGACTTTAATGGGAATTGACAGCGCTCAGCACTTCATTCAAGAAGTCAACACCTTAGTCCCTGATGGTGCAAATATGTAACTGCAAGGGGAGGAGCTTTTCACTGTAGCTGAAGAGGTTAGGTGTGGGCTTCTTTGAGGTAGTTTATTTTTTTTAATTGTTTGCTCTGACTGCAGCAGATGTTCTGTTTCAGCACCTGGCCTTGTCTTCATAGAGAAAGAATAATGATAATGTTTAGCACTCAGACAGCCCTCTTCAACTTCAAAGCACTTTACTAATCCTGTACCACTGAAATCAACTGCAAAACTCTCCTTGCCTAGGAAGTTCATGAAAACAGATAGGAGAAGAAGCACAGTGGGAGGCAATATTTTAAAGCAAATCTCAGACTGGTGTAAATTTTTCATACTTAGTTCGCCAACAGGCACTAGAAGATAATTAGTAACAGGTAACCATAAATATTCTGTATTCTATATTTAATGAGGAACAGTGTTCAGAGAGTAGCACTAGCTAGAAGACTCCCTCTGTGATGGGAAGAGAAACTGAAGAGGAAAGCACTTAAACTCTTGGCCATGAACAAGCACAGGAATATGTTTATGTTATACTGTTCAAAATAGACATTTGGGGATAATTAAAAGGCAAGTTATACATACACGTCTGACTATTTTAGTATATTCCTAAGGTCTAAAGAATTAACCTTCTCACAGCTGACAGCATATACGTGTTGTGCGGCAGCAGTTCTTTTTAAAAGGAGACTACACATCTGTCTGGAAATGGATGACAGAAGGGGGATCACGTGAGGATTACCTGTTGTGTTTCCTCTCTCTGGGGCATCTGGCATTGGCCACTGTCGGCAGACAGAACACTGAGCTAGATGGATCTTTGGTCTGACCAGTGCGGCCGTTCTTATGATGATAATCATGTGATGATTTAGGGTGTGTCTAGACTACAGAGTTTTGTCGACAAAAGTGGACTTTTGTCGACAAAACTAAACCTGCGTCTACACTACCGCTGAGTTCTGTCGACATAACGTTGACAGAACTCAGCAGTTTTGTCGACACTGGTAAACCTCATTTTACGAGGCATAATGCCTTCTGTTGACAGAGTTCTGTCGCTAGCTTCACTTGAGATAGGGTACTAAAATGGCAACGTAGATGTTGTGGCACAGGCAGCAATTCGGGAACCCCCCCCCAAGTCCAAACTCACCTGACCCACTGGATCCCAGCGTAGGTAACTAGCCCAACTGTAACACCCCCACTGCTATTTTTAGTACACAAGCTCAAGACGAGCTAGCATGAGTCTAGACATGCCCTCAGGAAAAACCACTACTGAGCAAGAAGTAAGGAACTTGGAAGCAGTGCAGATGGCACTCTTCCTTCCTTCTGTCAGATGAGTGATAAAAAGTACTGTGTTACTGAAAGTCTTCTTTTAAATAAGACTTAGAATGAAGGTCTTACTCATATGTGGTCATTAAAGATCCCTTGGAACTTTTCATTAATATACATGTGCTAACCCCATCGTCCTGGCCAAATTCCAATTTGGACAATAGGGTTCTGTCTACATAAATCCTCCCTGCTGTTTCAAATGAATTTAATATTCCTCTCTACTTCCTTTCCCAGAGTCAAGTTCTGCTGCAGACACAAGTACAGTTCCCAGAAGTGACTGGGGAACCCCAGATGTATCAGAAACAGATCTGGTAGTTAAACTGTTATTTAGCATTGCTGCACTCTCTTAAACCATTGCCAAGTGACGGCCCAGAAGTGGCAACAAAAATTCCTTAACATACAAAGTTTGCAAGATGCTTTGAAACTATTTGAAATGAAAGGTGAACTAAATGAGCTGCTGCTACCAGATGCAACAGGAGAATTTTCACGGTAGCATTTTGTTACATTTTCCCAGTGGTTGAAAAGTGAAAAAGATTCCATATGACTAGACAGTTCTTAGGCCCTATCCGTGTTTAAAGTGCATTTGAAAAGGAAGAAATATGTTAACATTGCGAGCAGACACAAATGGTCATGATGTTTGTTTTTAAATCATGAACACACAGCAACTGCACACAACTGATTCTAATGAAATGTTCACCATTATTTTTAATACAAAAACCCCTTTGTTAATTAAACAAAAATCAGGTTTGCTGTCCAGCTGCTAGAAGTGTCACATGACATGGGGCTTTTTGTTACTGGTTTTTACCTATTGTGTGAAAACTGGCCACTGAACATAGCAATAATTTTACTTAAGAACACGAATGAGCACTTATATAACAGGTCCTGTGATCAAAGAGCTTTACTGACATTCAGCATATTTATGCGATCATCACCTGCCATTATACAGACTTGTGCACAGCTAAACTATGCTAACAAATTGACACAAGAAGCCACAATGCTATTGTGCCATGGGGAGATGCTCATGGAATCCAGTTAGGCTACTTCGGGGATCAGAACTCAATTGGAGGTTGTGCATGAATTTGCAACAGTTGGGTTAACGAACCTCTGTGCATGAACTCTTTTTGATTGGTTGGCTGGTTGAAGAGTGTGAACTCACTTGGAGGTTGTACATGAATTTGCAACAGTTGGGTTATCGAACCTCTGTGCATGAACTCGTTTTGATTGGTTGGCTGGTTGAAGAGTGACTTATTCTGCTTTAGCTTAATTTGATAAAGAATGGAATTCAGCTGAACCAAAATAAGCCTAGCTCAAACCAAAATAAACATCTACACAGCCTTCTGTGCCTCGGGTTTACAGGATCTTTCGAAAAAGGCTTCTATTTTTGAAAGAATGGCATCTAGACTGCAGTTTCACTTTCAAAATAGCGCTTTTTTGAAAGAGCGCCATGACGCGAACATGCAAATGAAGAGCAGGAAATTCAAATCCCAGCTTCATTTGCGATTTCGAAGTGTCTAATTTACATCCCTCTGTCGAAAGACAGATGTAGTCTAGACACACCCATAACGAACTGGGACATCTGCGTTTATAGTGAAAACGACTGTCCAAGGGGTAGAGAATGCAAGGTGCCATCCAGCCCTGTCCAGCTGTATAATCCTTGGGAGGAGCAGCACAGGTGAGCAGTTAAAGCCCTGGGCAGAATGCCAGGTGTGCTCTTCCTGGATCTATCATGAGCTTGCTGTCTTCTCTTAGAATCCGAACACTGTCATCAAGTGGCACTTACCTACAGCTCCACCTCAGTCCTAAATGTTTTTGCCTGTGAACAGGTTTTGTTGAGACACGACACACTGCAAATTATACAGAGGCAAATTATGGCTGCTCCAGTGTTGGGAGGAGGGCACTAGAAGAGGAATGCGAAAGCCTTTCCAAGGCTCTGCAATCCACTCATTTAGCAGCTGGCACCCTTCAGTTACAGGGCAGGAGGCTCCCCAGTGCTGCCAGCTAGACACTCTGTCCCCGCCCACTAGATACACTGACTGATAAGGGTAGGCAAGGTTACCACATGGGAGCACAGGGTGTATTAGTCACAGAGGGCAGTGACTGTTACTCGTCCGCATACTTTCCACAGCACTTTGGGAGGTACCATGACTCCAGTAGCTATTGTTAGTAAGACAGTACACCTCCTCAACCTTGCTTTGGACCTCTAGACAGGCCTCATTTGACAAGGAAATAGGCCCAAAAGCAAGGGTACAATTTTACTCCATTTATAAAGTCCAATTCAGAATCTAGGTGCATTTGCAACATGGTTTGAAGGGGA